CCCGCCCCGACTTTTTCTCTTCCCATCCGTCCAGCGGGCATGATCCTTTCTGGCTTCTTTGTTTACTTGGCGTTTACAGACTGTTTACCTCGGTCACGTGATGCGAGCTCAGCCGGCGCGGCGGCGGGCGTGTGTGTGGGGTTTGTGGGGTGGGCCCAAGGCAGGCGCAGCCGGCGCCGCACCACCGGGGGGCACCGGGCGCCCCAAATGAACGACGTGGAGCCCCGTGTTCTTGTCACACCTGCCGAGAGTATTTGAGTGATGCGAGGGGGTTCGTCTCCACACTAAGTCTCTGGGTGCAGGATGTTGTACTATGCTAGTATTGCAACCACATCGTAGCGACCCATACCGACCGACTCGGCGGCGACCCCGCGGCCGTTCGCTTCCAGCACCAGCTGCGTATGTGCTCTGCTGCACATCATCCGAACGTCATATCCCATCAGTTTCCCGCGCGGCCGCCCATGTCACTGACCCTCCATGTCTCTGACGCGTTCCCCTCCCACGACAGAAGAAGTTTGGTCGCCCCGGCGCAACTACCAAACACCCCGCTGCCTGCACCCGCCCCGCGCCCCGTCCTGTCCCACCCGTGTTGCCCCCCCCCTTCCCCACCCCCTCCTATTTGTACGGAATGCGATTTATCACACATTTCCCGGCGCGTGTGCGCTTGTGCTGCGCTTGTGCTGCCCGCGGGGCGGCGCGGCTGGCGCAGCAGCAGCAGCAGCAGGGCCCTCAAAGGCAGCGGGCGTTAAAAATAATCCAGCAGCACAGCGCCGTAGCAGCAGCAGCAGCCGCCGCGGGGCGCACCGGCCGCCCCCCGCCGGCCCCCCAGCCAGCGCTGTGCGATTTTCTGCGACCTAGCGACACAAAAGTAAAGCACACTAAGATGACCGTTAGTATTCGCCGCGGGAAGAAACCTATACTATAGTCGAGAGCCTGCAGGCTCCGATCCACTCGCCACCCCAGCCACCTGATGTGCGTCCAGACGGAGTAAAGCACTCATATATTATCCCTCCACAGCCTCTGGCCCCGGCCCTCCCTGTAGCATCTCTGGAAGTGGAAGACCCACCCGCACTCACTTTGGCATTCTGACCGGGTATACTACCCGTGCGGCTATGGGCAGAGCCAGAGCCTCTACTTCGGGTAGCCCTCGGCGCCGTCACGTGTCTCTCGGCTGCTTTGCGTATGCGCTAAAGGGGGGCGGGGGGGCTTTATTCTTGTGCGTGGGTGTGCAGGACGTGTCACGACCTGCTCGGCCCCGCCCCGCCCCGCCACGCCGCGCCAAGTCGTCCGCGACATCAGATCTGCAAGTCTCATCGCTCCGCTCCCCGCGCTGCGCCGCCGAGCTGTCGCGCCGAGCTGTGCTGCCCGTCATAACTACTGCAGGGGCTTCTCCTCCTCCCTCCGAGCCGTTTCCGGACCCCCTCTCCCTGCCTCCTTCCCTCTGTCGGGTGGCACTTCCCTTCCGGTGGTGGCCGTGCAGCAGCAGCGACGTTGTGCGAAAGGGCTTCGCTGCTCGCCCCCGCCCTGCCCTCCCGTCGGCCTCCCCTGCGGCTGACACTGGAGCCGGGCTGGACACGGCGCGGACGCACGGGGGGCACACGCATGGGCACACGCCCGGGAGGGGACTGAACAACACTGAATCCGAGAACCGCAGTGACTCAAAACTGTCGGCGCGAGAGGAAGTGTCACAGCAGCGCGGTTGGGAAGAGAGACGGGAGATGCTCGAGATACTGACGGCGGCGGCGGCGGAGTTGTTTCAGAACACCGGCTGTTTGAATACGAAGCGAAACGGAGAAGTGTGTGTTTTGCGTCGGCACGACGGTGGTGGTGCGGTACGGTACAGTCAGGCCCCAAAACCTCATGGCGACTCTCCTGCTGCTCCGCTGTTGCAGGACGACCCAGCGTGCTGCCCGCCCCCGCCGCCTGCAGGCTGGCCGGGGTGCGCCGCCGGGGCCGCGCCGCGCCCAGGACGCTGAACAACGGTGGTGGTGGCGGCGCCCCGCCGGCGTCCATCCCCGTCCCGCCTCCGCGGGTCCCCACGCCGACGACGGACTGCAGGTAGGTGTGGGGCTCTATGTCAAGTGAAGCAGCCGATTTTACGTACGCACGCCATATGGCAGTTGAGCGGGTAAGTGGGGAGGTGGTAGTTCGACCCCCTCTCCTTTGCTCTGGACAGCCTTTGGACAGTCTATGGACTTCCCTCGCAGGGGCATGCCCTTCGACGACGCGTACTTCTGCAGCAGCTCGGAGGGCGCGCCCCCCTTTGCCTCGCAGTGTAACTAACTACTCTCCCTTCCCACACTGTCTGTCTTAGGGAACGTCGCCAGCCGGCGGCGCAGCTAAGCCCTGCGCTGGGCTGGGCAGTGCATCTCGCCCAAGTGTTTAGACTAGCCTCCTCCCCCCTCCCCCTCTCTCCTCAGCTGATATTGCGCTCAGACGTATATACAGCTCGGGAATGCGCATTTGTGGCGGCGGTGCTGCGTTTTGCCACGTCAAGAGCCGCCTGCCGGCCGTTGCGACTTCCTCTTGACGGCGTCCTCTTGACGGCGTCCTCTTGACGGCGTCCTCTTGACGGCGTCCTCTTGACGGCGTCCTCTTGACGGCGTCCCCGCGGGTGACAATGACGCCCTTGTCGACGGGCGGGTGCTGCGGCTCGGGGGGCGCGCGCGACGACGCTGCGCGGCCCGGGCGGGCGGCGGCGGTGCGTGCCGGCGCGGCAGGAAACACAAACAATTCCACAAAAAAACAGCCCGATCTCTGTTTGGCTCCACTGCAGCGCCGCGCTGCAAGCGTAGAGAGCCTGCCGCGCCAGTGTGTGTGTGGGGGGAGGGGAGGGGGGAGGGTCCACACACACGTTACCTGTCGGTTTAGTATTCGTACCGTACAGTAACAAACCAGTATTCGACTTCACAATCTATTTTTGAATTATTCCAAGAAGACTAGAGAAATTTCCAGAAAGTAAAGTGCCATCTGTGAAACTCATCCGCTTTCTGCGCTGCTGTCCCTTCGTCTACCGCGCACCGCGGCATGGAGTTGAGCTGCAGTCGAATCCTCCAGCCTGAGGTGTGGTGCGCATCTACCATCTCTCTTTCGTCGTTTCCCCTCCGGAACTGCTTTCAAATGCTCCCGCGCCGCCGCCGCGCCGTCGATACCCCGCGCGTGTCGAGTGGTGAGTTCTCGCCCACGCCGCTAGGTGGCGTGCCAGTGCACGTTTGGTGGCTCGTGCCGCCGTACCGCACAGCAGGCGTACGGCCCGGGTTGCCTACCAACGCTGCCCGCGGGCGCCCTCCTCCCTCCACGCCCAACCGGCCACCGGCTACCGGCTGCTGACAATCCGTTGCACGGTGAGCGGCACCGTATAACAAAAAAACAAACCCACAAAACACAAAATTAAACTCGGAAGACTTTTGTCGGGATAACTTGGCGAGGTTATCCAGATCCAGATAGTTATTAATGTGCCGCTGTAAATGCGTAGAGGAGAGAGGAATACTGGGTCTCGGGGAGAATACACGCGGCAGCTCGCCGTCCGCGCCTGCACGCCAGTGCATCGGCATCGGCAACCCTCCGAGCTGCTGCGTATTCTCCCGGACACCCGGCACTAATAAACTGCGGTTTTATTGTTTTCAAGACCATACTGTCCCTTCTGCGTTACCATTCGGCGGTCGTGGACAGCCCCCTACCCCCCG